AATGGGTTGCCCTTCACCCCGGTCCATCCAGTGCAAGGGAAGGCTTCACTTCCACAACTCCGAATGGGAAAGCCAACTATCACCATTGCCAGGCATTTCACCTGTTTGCGTGTCAGACTGTCACTCTCTCCTCAAGGCTCACACACCATCCAGTTTTCGCAAGTTCATAACACACTTTCTATACTACTGAGTTTGGCTGGATTCAGACCAGAGACCTACATGTAAAAGACTAAAAACAGAAGGAGGCTCTGTTCTACTAGAAATTTATTTAGCGATCAGATGGGAAAACTTGGCTTCAGGAGAAAAAAGGAGTTAGATACCAGAAAGAGATGAGAAAGTCAGTCCTGGTTAAAAGTAGTTCTAATTTTTAACATAAATGAAAGTGTTATTAAAGGTTTGTCTATGACTCATGCCAACTTCTATGTAGATGAGAACTGTAATGAAATGGTATCTAAGTCATTATAAATTTTGCTATTTACACAAGAGGAAAAAGAATGTTTCCTACTTCATTTTTTGTTTCCCTTCATATCTTGCTTACTTATTAAAATGTAGGGTTCCAAGTACCCATAGAAAAAATAGAAACGTGCAGAGAGAATAACCACTAGAAAGAAAAAAAAGCAACCAAGTCCTATAACTGGATTTAAAATAATTCAGTCCTGTCTAAAGAGTCAAATCATGTTCTTTTTCCCCCCTACATAAAAGTTGCACTCATAACAACAGAAGAAAAGCACAGTTGCTTCATAACACTGGACATAGCTTTCCAGAAACAAGATAGCAACTACTCAGAAATGCTAGGGAAAACATTAATCACATAGTAACTTGCTATTTACATTAAAGGTAGTAGCCTTTAAAATTAATTAAAAGTAAAAGCAAAAAAACCCCACCAGGTTTTAGTCATAGGACAGTTTTGTCTATAATATGGAGTCTCTGTTCTTTGCTTTTTGTCCAGCGTTTTGAGATATATATCTATACATACAGATAGATATATGTCTGAGAGAGATGTATCAAAAGCTAAAACATGTCTGGATGGAGACCCTGCAGATTTCATCTGAGACTACATTTGCAGCAGACAAACCCCCACAGGAAAAATGCTGGAATGACATATTTTAATGAAATTACATTCCCTGTCCATGATCCAGATAGGATCCATGTAGAAACCTAAGCGCCACAGTCTGTAGAAGCGGAGCTGACAGCAGCAGCACATGTTCCCCGGTGCCGCCAGGCTGAAGCATCCCAGCCCTCGTGGGATGCAGTGGTTTCCATCCCCGCGGAGGCTGTCAGGACCGGTGCAGAGCAGGGCCAGTGGTGATGATGGGGAGAGCTGTCACCCACCATGTGGTCTACAGACGGGACCCAAGTCTGTTGGCAGTCAGTTGATGCCAGCAGGAGCTGGACGAAGCCCCAGGGCAGCAGCAGGCTGTGAGGATGGGAGCGCAGGACGAGGCATCGATGACTCTCTGATCCAGCCCCAGTGCTGCCACCGCATCGCCCGGCGGGCTCTCAGGTCTCACTAGGATCCACAAAACGAGTCACTGCTGTCGTGCTCCTTCCACAGGACGACGGCTGGATCGGCCAGGAATTGTTGGGCACCACAGCACTTCTTATTCTTACACATGCAGGATGCCAGTGGGCAACCAGCTTCAACTCAGAACCAGGAAAATCCGGCCAGAGGATGTGCCCCTTAATAGAGGAAAGGCTGTCTGTGCCTCCAGCCGTCAGCACTCAGCTGCCCCGTCTCCACCGTAACTTGCCGAAACCAGTGCCAATTCACAGGAAAAAGAATGTCCACATCCACAGGGTATAAATCCTTCCTTACGTACAAGAATGGTGCAAGCATTTACCCGGCATCTCTATCAAATATTGTAGAAAATGTTACACAAAAATATTTAAATATATGGATACAGATACATAGATGTTATACTTGCATAAAATATGTATATTCAAAACCCTTTGGGCAGTTTCACAGTTAGCTGAAAATGTATGCTTTAGAAATAAGAACAATTTCCTACACTTTTCTAGTTTAAGTAGGAGGGGGGAGGGGAAAGAAGCATCAGCCTTATTAATACTGAATGCTAAGTGCAGAAGTTTAGCTGTAGCTGTAGGGTTTTGAAGCAATTGATTTGACAGAACCTCCAAGCATAAACTCTGTTTTAAAAATCCACATTTATTCCCTAGATTGCTTATTGTTTCATGAAAATGAAAACCTACGTGTCCTGCTTGTATCAGCTAGATCTCCTGAGACCGTTCAATTAAAACTCATAAGCTTGCAATACTTCAAGACAGGATTGTGTATTTATTGGGAATGCGCATGAACCTTATTGCAGTATTTCTGTGTGATAATAGGAATTTATAACTTCTTGTATCCTGTATAATTTAGCTTTAGAAATAAAAAACCTTAAATGACACCACAAGAAGCTCACAGTTCTGAGAAAATTAAAGTCAGTATGAAATTTTACTTGTAGACCACATAATTTACACAGATTTACATAAATACAGAGATATTAAAATATTAAATCAAAGCTAATTAACAGAGGATAGAGTTTTACATGGTAACATATTTTAATTCTAGTTACATTTTTGCAACTACTTTTAGTGTCATGAGATTATATAAATAATATATATACCTGTATATCCATAATATATATAAAGATATATATATCTATCTCTCCATCCTTCTTTTTTTCTTCAAAAATAGGGCAATTTTATAACTGCAATGAGATGTGACAAGCAGTACACTTCTGGGGAATTATTGCATGCCTTGAGTGCATAAGGCAGAAGGAAGAGTATCTGACTTCAGACACTAAAGAAGTGGAATCATCAACCAGAAATGCACTGGAGTGATTTGGAACATCTTATTGCTTTTATAAAACTCAAAATTATACACTGTTGTAGGGTTTTGTTTTGTTGGGTTGGGTTTTTTTTTTTTTCAAAGGCACAAAATAAAGGGGAAAGTAATATCTCTCTATTTAGTGGAGATCCACGATCAGGAAGCTCCATTACTGTTCACTGACACTCTTCATTGTCCTAAATCTATTCCCTGTGGTGCAATACTGTGCTGCAGTTGCATAAGGAGGTCAAACACAAAAGTTCATGCATCCTTTATTAGGGGAAAACAAAACAAAGCCAATTTCCTTGCCCAGCAACAACGAAGTAGCCATTAGCATCCGATCATACCGGCTGGCGGCGAGAGTCAGCCATCGCTCCCATCAAACTGCAATGTGCACAACACCCTTCGGCCGCAGGTACGCTTGCCACACTAACCTCCGCTGGTGGAGCAGCTCCTTGAGCTGGGTGATACAGTACTTGCCTAAAACGCTGGAGGCACGGATCCAAACTCAACAGCAATTTCCCATCACACCAGGCAAGATTGGAAAGGGATAAAATGGAGTAACAGAAACACTGCCCTGACACCTCAGCATTTCGGGGCTATTAGGGGATTATGGAGCACTTCCACCACCCTCTTTCCCCGTTTTAAATTGGTTAATGGCATTCACTCCTGGTTGAGAACCCCAGACCTCCCGGTGCCTGTGCCTGGGATTTTTCTAGCCTAGCAGCCACCCTGGGAGGCAGAGGGGGAATAAGTGGATTCAAAATATTAAAAACTGTGGACTATTACTCTCTCCTTAGATCACTTTGAATGCTGGGCTAGAAAGAAAAAGAAAAGAAAAAAAAAAAAAGAAATCCCTCAGGATCACTTTTTCTTTGCTGTATTTTTAGATGTTAATATGCACGGTAGAGGGCTGCCTCTGCTATGTTACCACACAAGATGTTTCAAAGTTTAGATATGGCACTCTGTTAAGGCACCTTCAAGTAATGGTCATTGATTTAATTGTTAAGCAAAGCCGCATTTTCAGTACCCGACGCTGCTTCCTCCAACACACACAGTACCGGCAGCCACTCACACCTGCCATCCACAGACAAAAACTCCTGGTGCTTGCTAGGGAGAAACTACACTGCCACTTCTGAAATAAATATTTGCCAGGGTTTTACGAGCAGACATTTTGCACAACTGCACGGTTTGTTCCCCGAAAGGGGAAAGGGGAGAAAATTAAGTGTTGTCTGTCCCTAACTGTCTACTAGATTAGGAGGGTTAAAAATATATATCAGGCTAAAAAAAGTAGAAGCCAGCTCTGTACTGCTGCAGGATTCCTTGCTGGGAGGCGAAGCTGTAAACGCAGGCGTTCAGTGCGGGGTGCCTGGTGCAGAACTGGATTTGGTTCAGGACCAACAGGAGGTACAAGGACATCCTCCCCTGGGAGAGGACGGGCAAGTTACTGCGCATCAATCATACGTGTTTGTAGGGAGCAGGGGGGGCATTTGAAGATGAGGGGAGAGGAAAGCTCGGGCATCGCTCTGTGCAGACAGCTCGCTCAATCCCCCAGGACGGTGGGATGCTCAGCGCTGCAGCTGGGGTGCATGGGGCCGTGGGGCCAGAGGGTGCTTGCAGTTAAGCCCAACTAGGGGTGACCATTTCTACACAAAATAATATCCAGTCCTGGGAAGGAGCGAGAGAGGTGGGACAGGGGCATAGGTCCTAGCACAAAAGGAGAGACCAGGGTGGGCTGTCGCCCTGCTCCGAGGGGACAGGGGGTCCCAAGGCACCCACCAGACCTGCCTCTCCCCCCACGCCATTCCCCCACACCCCAACCCCACGCCATGCAATGGTGACACAGGGTGCAGCGGGAATCCCAGGAGAGTGGGATTGTCCCCGTCCTCAGGGTAATGATGTCCAGGGAAAAGGGATTCCCCCACCCCTGACGCTCTCCTCCAGGTGGACGACTTGGTATTTGGTAGCTGTGTGCAGCTCCTGCTCCAGTAAAAAGACGCATCCTTTCCTCACATAGTCAATGAGAAACGCAATGTGATCTGTCATGCGCTTGGATCGTGGGCTTGTTCGTTCGTTTGAATTAGCAATGTTTTCTTCTTCTTCGGGGACTAGAATAATCACTCAGGTATTTACAAACACCAACCAGCGCCTTCGCCAGGTCTCCCCCAAACCATCATGACAAAATCACCGTCTGCAAGAGCCCCGCACCAGCTGTGTCCAAACAAGCCCGTGCTTGCTGAGAGCTCGGGGCTGCCGAGGGAGAGGGGCGCTGGATCTCCGAGTCCTGTGGGGGTCTTCCCAGCCGGCTGTCTCTTCCTTGGGGTGCCTCTCCGTGCACCCCCGTCCCAGGGTGCTGGCTGCCCCTATTGCTGCTGTGGGTGCAGTGGTCCCGTTCATACTCCTCCTGAGCCTTTTGCATTTTCCGCTTCTTCATCTTCCTCTTGTGGATGTGGAAGGTGGTGAGGGAGAGGAGAATCAAGCAGAAGATGAGGGTGACCAGGACAATTAAAACCAGGGTGGACGAGAAGGACTGGAAGAGCTGACCCACTTGCGTGATGCAGGTGCTGCTGGTGTTTAAGGTGGCAGACGTCCTGTTCAGAAGACAAGGTGGCAGGGACAGCCTCAACTCCTTGGAGAGCTTGGCACTCATTGAGGAGGCTTCGGAAGATGAGGATCTTCCTCCCCTCTCTGAAGACGCCTAAATTGCAATCAGTGCCGGGCTGCTGGCAGGCGCTCGCTGGAAATGCCCGGGATGCTGCCGGCTCAGCCTCTCGCTCGCTCTAAAGTGACAGAGCAGCCTGCAAAGGGAGCCGGACACATCAGCGCTCCGAGGCACCCACCCCGCTCAGCTCCCCCCC